GAAAAGTAAATTGTCAGCAATCAAGAACACTAAATGTTGCAGAAAATAAATCCAGATTGATGGTAATTTGTTGCTAGCAATGTTACGTCCTCTGAGGCTTTACTGATGAACGTCTACATCTCAACATTCATTATATTTATGCAATGCAGGAAAGTTTTCGTGTCTTTAATTTCGTGCTATAATAGTCATTGTAATTTCGTGTTATCATTTCAGGGAGCAGGCGAGCAAAGATCAGGTAGGCGGCGTCCACTGTATACTTGTGGGGCCTCACTTTTAGCCATTGCTCAAAAAACATGCACTAAACTACAAGATCTAGATGGGCCTTTAGGATCAACGGCGAATAGGGCAGCCTCATTCATGAATCAGTTCCTACCTTTTATACACACCTTGTTGTGCCCGTTTCTCACAATCCTATCCTACTTAGACGACCATATCCTCCGTTTGGAAACCAAAGTTGAGACTATATTCCCACTTTCGGCATGTTTGTTTGACAAAATCGACACATTGGTTTGCCGCTCAGAAGCCCTACCCGAACAAATTGATGGTGTTTTGGCAAAAATTCTCACGAGGAAAAAGGAGATAACGGTTGACGTCAACTCCAAACCGAACATGAAGTCTTGCCCTTCCAATGAAATGGCTAATTGTGAGGTCACTTGGAAATCGGTCGACGGAATAAAGATAGTGGAAGACCGGTATTTTGCATCGGATTCTCCAATGTGCAGTTCTTATCTTTCCGCAAATTCGTCACCCGTGTCCGACTGCTCGGAAAGCGAGATTACACATTTGGGCCAAACGGGAAAGGCAGACCGTAGTATGAGTTACAGTTATAAGGAAATGCTGGAGAGGGGACAGAAAGAAGTTCATGAGAAAGGGGGACCAAAGGGTTGAGATGGTTGGGAAGAACAACAATGAAGGAACCATGAAGACTAAGAGTTCCTAGTCTAACTGCCATATTATATTAGGTTGCTCGTTTTTTGGCGTGAGAAAATGGGGAGAATTTTTGAGGCTGAATATTGTTAGAT